CAATAACGAGCCAAGGCCACTCTTCTCGATCTCCCCTTCTTCCCAAGCAACCCGTAATTTCCACCGAATCGTCACATATCGATGACCGACGTGATACCCCCTTCAAACCGCCGTCGCGAACGATGCAATTTCCTGGCTGAAAATTGCGCGTTCAACCGGTTACAGAACCTACCCGGCAACAACGACAACAATCCTGAACCAGCAGCTTTTTTGTTCCTCCTTCGACAAGAGTCTCCCCGTTGAGAAAAAGGGGGAGAGAACGAGGTTTTGCAGGTGCAGTAATAACGCGTATCAAACGCTCAAGTATAGGGTCGGTCTCGTTCGTTTCGAAGCTACTTAACCAAAGCGGTCGTGCGCGTTTACGTGTGCAGTTTAGAGGGCTGCGCGTACAGTAGTTAGTACAGGCTTAGAGCAGCCGAGAGAGAGAGAAAGAGAGGGAGAGGGAACCAGAGTTCCGGCGGTTTCGCACGCTGGGGTTGGGACTTGCTGGCACCAGATTTATCTCTCTACCCCATCGTTTCGGCGTGCGCGTTGTTATGGGGCGAGCCAGAACACCGGAACGCCAGAATGCCAGTGCACCAAGAGGGGTGTGGGACGCCTTCGAATACCATAGTCTGGGCATAGATCCTCCTTTTCGATCCGTTAAATGAGTTTTCTTACGTCTCTCCAACCCCACGCGTTTATTCACCCTCTTTGCTTCCTTAGAGAGGACACACTCCATTCTCTATCCACCCCTCGATCATACCCTTTCATTCGTCCGTTTTCTTTCCTCGGAGATCTCTGTGCGTTTGGTCGGCTACCAATCTATACGCTCTATTTTCCTTCCGCTCGACAGGTTGTGCTCGACGCTAAAAAGAGTCTCGGTCCCGCGGGTAATTGCGTACTAAAGACACGTGCCAGTTAGAAGGAAGTTGCGTTCTCCTTCTGTTTATGCACACGCACGCGAACCAGCGCGTGCGGTAGGCTATTCGAGCCGCGTTCAAGTATTACCTGGCGCTGATCTACGCGTTACGGGATCCCGTAACACGAGGGGTCGAGCAAGTTTCAACGGGGTTGGACTGGCTGGCGCCAGGTTTATCTGTCGACCCCATCGTCTCGGCCCACGTTGTTATGGCCTGAGCGAGAGAGAGAGAGAGAGAGAGGATGAAGTACGATCGCATCGGGGAAGCGGAGTAGATACAAGCAGAGAGAGAGAGGGTAAGTTGAGAGATCAGGGGTGTAAACGGAGAAAACGTGAGAAGAAGATGGTACGAGAGGGAGAAATGGTAGGGAACGTCGAGGAAAGGATTCGCTGCGTTAAGATTGGAACATTCGCGTGTATAGTTACACGACGATGAATAAGCTACTATTTACCGCGATGAAATATGACAATCGCTCCATTCCAAGAACCACGACGGCGTGTATTAAATCTAAGCTATTTACGACAGCAAGAAGTATCGTCAGACGTAGTTACGATTACCGCAAAAATAAGCGTGGCGTATTAACCATAAACCACGAACGACGTAACGAACCTTAGGTACCGATCGATCGATCGATCGATCCATCCGTAGTACGCGTAAAAACATTGAATTCGATTCCGATGCGGCTAGACCGCAAGAAGCCGCCGCAGAAGAGGAGAGAAACGAGAGAAACAAAGGTTCGAAGGAGGAGGAGGAGGAGGAGGACACACCGCAGAAAGTGGTGTGGATATTGAAGAGAGAGAGAGGAGAGAGAGACGGTGGTATTGGAAAGAGACAGAGGAAAGGGTTGAAACACGACGGAGCACAGGGTAACGTCCGTTGCAAAGCAGTCTGCTGCTTGTCCCTCTCTGAACCCCTCATCTGGCTCCGGCGCAAAAGCATTGTGTCAGGACGTAACAACTCGCGATAGTACGACGCAGCTTCCCATGGGGCACCATTATCCTGATTTAGCACCATGGCTACGACTCTATTTCCTACGCGCTTCCACTCTCCTCTCCTCTACTTTGTCCGGCTTAGCTTTATTTGCGCGAAAAAGGGAGAAAGCTTGGTCATGCCTGCGAATTGACACGTTTCCCTCTGTCCCACCGTCGCTTTGCTTTTGCGGTATCGTTCCCAAAGCGATTACGCGACACCAAAAGACACCGTGTATACATTATACACCCTCCTCCACCCTTCCGATCGTCTCTTTTAACAACAACTCCGCTACGTTTGGTTATTAGAGCGGAGAGACTGTAAACAGGATACGCTCCGGCATCCTTCGTCGCCGTGCAATTAATGTTGAAGGTTTGTTCAACTCCTCCCTCTCCGGAGTAGCTCCGCTCCTCTCCAACTTCGTATATTTACAAATATACACGAGGCACAAGCGGCTCCGCGAGTAGCGTACACACCGAATGAGCTTGATGACTGATTGTGTTCCTCAATGCCGTCTAACCCGACAATGTGCCACAATGCTGCACCACCAATCCCGACTGTGGTGTTTCAAATGAGTACTCCACGCGATAAATCTAATATTACACCGTTGCTGCTCGCGCGTAAACTGTTCCGCAGTTAATTGAAAAGACGTCTCCGGTATCACGGCTGAGATCCTGGCAACGCCAAGTAGTGCTTCCAGTTTCCCTCCGCGAAACTTGCCTCCGGAGACTAAATGAAAATCGAGCAAAGAGCAACTAAGCGAGAGATTAGGGGAGGGTCTTCGGTCAGGTCCGTACACCCGGTCGGAATATGGCCCAGCTCCAAGAATCCCATTTTACAACCGAGCCTTTATAAAACGAACCTAGAGAGAGAGAGAGAGGTGAACCTGACCGAAAACCACACCTAACTCACGTCACAATCTACTTTTCCAAAAGTTTCAAAATGTCACCCAGGAATCACAAGAGCAATGAAACCGCCACCACCGTCACCGTCCAACAATCGATATCGTTCTGCGTATATAAAACAGCAGAGTATAAAGCCGGTCGAACAAGGAGAGAAACACCGAGGCCGAAAACCATTCGCGCGAACACCACCGGAAACCGAAACGAAAATACACAGAAACGTTCGGTGGAGCGGTGTGCGACGTTTATATTTGTCAAAGGATATAAAAGCTAAATATTAATCACCGGGGGTGTGTGCTTCTCTACGGTCGGCGTCGATAAATATCGCGACCACGGGGAAATTAATACGCAACGGCAGAGAGTAGTTCCACTGTTCGAAACGAGTATTTACGCGGGAATGAAACCGAACGGACTCAGCCTACGGTAGAAGAAGAGAGAGAGAGATTCGAGGGTGAGTATGCTCGTCGGATTACCGGTTGCAGTAGATGTGGATTACCGCGAGGGGTAGGTTCCGCCTCGTTAAATAGCCTGCAACGGTGGGCCCAGGCTTCGAGACCACGAATAAAGACGCGACATCGCTGTTTCACCTCCTTATTATCCCCGTTTTCACGTGTACACACACGGTGTATACATAGAAACAGGTCTGGCCTGGTGGTTGTTCCGTATGGAGGGTTGCACTACCCCCGTGGCATGGTTATTACTAGGGATTCGAGGTATTAAACGTACTTTGGGGTATCGATCTTCTTATTCGGCCACCCTGCGTCATACTTAAATACAATCTTTCGGGAGCTGTGTAATCCTCTTAGCCAAGTATTCCCCGCGCCTGCCGTCCACCCTGGTTCCCGATAGCGCGTGCCATTGTTTCTTATCTCGACTGATTACGCTTGTGCGTATGTACACCGTGCACCACCCGGCGCGAAGGGAATGAAACGGGAAATACGCCTGGTGGGTAGTAGGTAGGTGGGTACATGTTCTAACGAGATATTTTGGGAGAAGAGTAATCCTCTTAGCGAAATGTTCGCTATTAGAGTGTACTGCTTTCGTAACCGCTTACGTTTCATTTTTCCATCATCTTCGCTGATTAGGGACTCTGTATCGTATGAATTCTGGTGGAAGGAACGAGGACGGATAGAAGTAATTGCGAATGTTCGATTTATCGGGGAACATTCGATCGTTTCGTTAATTTCATCAATTTCTACCGAGACGAATTGACTTTTTCGCGTAGCACCGATACCGGAGGAACGTTGTAAACGGTGCTTGATTAGCAATTAATACGCGGCCGGTCCGACGATCCATCGATTAACGAAACCGATTTAATCAGCGCCCCGAACACGACTGACCAGTCCTATTAATTAGCGGAATAATCGGATCACAGGGAATTACGCGTTAAGCGTCCCCCTACCCGGCCTGTATTACTTTCGATAATAGGCTCCATTACAGTCTCTGCTACTGATCCGTTACTAATGTCAGCAAGTCCGGTGCGACTGTCGTTCGAGAACAACGGTAGAGTACACGCAGAGAGGAAGAGAGAGAGAGAGAGAGGGAGAGATTCAGAGTACGCGAGCGCGTTCGTCCTCCATGGCGGAAATTAATTCACTGATAAGTCGCGTGTGACGTAATCGAATTAATTTGCGGCGCTCGTACTGTGCCGGATTAATTATTGTCGCGGGAAGCACCGTCTCATTGGCGCCGCCGATCGCTATCCGACGCGATCGTCTCGCCCCCGAAATTCCTTCGAGTGATTTACACCCTCGATGCTCCCGAAAACTTTGCCACCGCACCCAGTTCTCGATTTGCAACGCGACAGTTTCTTCGATCTTCCGCACAGATATCATCGGTACTTTCA